TCTATCGTTGAAAGTTATTCCAATATTCAACGAGAACGATGCAGTTAGTACTAGGAAAGCTCCATACGAGGATTCTTCTGGCATATTTTGGGACAACGACAGTTTATCAGCTTTGTTGGCCTTGGAATTAAAAGCAGATCTTCTTATTTTGTTGAGTGATGTAGATGGTCTTTATAATGGCCCTCCAAGTGATCCTCAGTCAAAGCTCATTCACACATACATTAAGGAAAAGCATCAAAACGAAATTACTTTTGGAGACAAGTCTAGAGTGGGAAGAGGTGGGATGACGGCGAAAGTAAAAGCTTCTGTTCATGCAGCTGATGCCGGCATTCCTGTTATCATTACCAGGTGCAGTGCTGTTTGCATTTCTCAAAAGCACCCTTTTTATCGCATATTTGCATCCCCTCTTAAAATTTTATTTTAACAAATTTTTAGAGGCACCATTTTTAGAGCTGTTTCGTTACGAGATTATAAAAAAAGTGATTATTTCATTTTTGCAAGTGGGTTCTGCAACATTTTGTTTTTCTCCTTTCAGTGGTAACACAGCTGAAAATCTCACTAAAATCCTCCAAGGACAGCGTATCGGCACCCTCTTCCATAAAGATGCGGCTAAGTGGGTCCCATTAAAAGAGGTTGATGTACGTGAAATGGCAGTTGCAGCTAGGGACTGTTCCAGACGGCTTCAGGTCTCTTTTATATCTTAAACATCGCTAAGCTTTCAGTATACCATTCCTTCCGAAACATGCTAATCTCCCAATCTTACATTACAGGCCGCATCTTCAGAAGAAAGGAAACAAATTTTGCTAAATATAGCAGATGCCTTGGAATCGCATCAGAAAGAGATCAGGATCGAAAACGAAGCTGATGTTGCAGCAGCTCAAGAAGCTGGATATGAAAAATCATTAGTTGCTAGGCTGGCTTTAAAGAACGAGAAGGCAAGACAGTTCACGTAAAGAAGAAATTATTTAAATTTTAGCTAACTAACTAATCATACATAATTGTTGAATTTTAAACAAACTGCTAAACTTCTCATGATAAACTATGATAATCGACAGATTGCAGGTCTTGCCAACAACATACGAATTATTGCAAACATGGAAGATCCAATTGGTCGAATTTTAAAACGAACAGAGGTAATAAAATAGTTTGTTTTAGCTATATATTTACTTATTGTTGCCAATTCATAAAATGATGTTTTAAGTTTTTCATAGACAATCTGGATTGCACTGGACAACGTTGGTTGTTGATGATCTATGATATTTCTGATAGTTTCCTTTTTATATAGCTTGCAGAGGGGCTAATTTTGGAGAAAACATCATCTCCTTTGGGAGTTCTTTTAATTGTTTTTGAGTCTCGCCCCGATGCTCTAGTACAGGTAAATCAAACATTTTCATACTTTTCTTCTGATGGATTGGGCCGCTTATAAGAGAAGTTATTAAAAAAGACCTCGAGATTAATGATTTGGATAGAAGCATGGTCTTGGATAGAACATTTTGGCGAAAGTTGATCCATGTAGCCGACCCCCTTAGTGGGATAAGGCGCTTGTTGTTGTACTCTTCTTATATCACATGAATTTATTTAAATTTGAAAATCGCCTGCATTGCGTTTAAAAAACCATGTCTAGATTTATTAATATGATTTTGACGCTGTTTATCTGCATTCTAAGTTAGTGACTTCATATATAATCTGAACAGATAGCTTCCTTGGCAATACGAAGTGGGAATGGACTTCTGTTGAAAGGAGGCAAGGAGGCTAGGCGATCAAATGCAATTTTGCACAAAGTTTAGTTTCAAATTAAATGATAATTTGTTAACTATTTTCTTTTACATTGTATTTTATTTGGCAGTTTCATCGATAAGCATTTTTTTTAGTAATTTTCCTTATCTGAAATTTCAGGTAATTACTGAAGCTATACCAGATACTGTTGGTTCAAAACTAATCGGACTCGTAACGTCAAGAGCGGAAATACCTGAGCTACTTAAGGTCGATACAATAGTACAAATAAATTTCTGGTTTATAAGGTTTCTCACTTAGTATATATTGGCACATTTAGCTAAGCTGGAATCTACGTACTATTTGATTTTCAGTTGGATGATGTAATTGATCTGGTGATTCCAAGAGGCAGCAACAAACTTGTTTCTGATATAAAAAATTCCACGAAAATCCCTGTTCTAGGTCATGCTGGTAAGACCTTTCCGCTTGATGTGGTATGGTGAATCATTTTTAAACGATATATAATTGTGACTATTGCGTATGATATTATTTGTTGTCGAAATCAGATGGAATTTGTCACGTCTATGTTGATAAATCTGCAAATTTGGAGATGGCTAAGCAGATTGTACTCGATGCAAAAACAGATTATCCAGCAGGATGCAATGCCATGGTAATTTAATTTACTGGATGATGCTGCAAGCTTTGTTACTTTTCACCACCATGCATAATTCATGTCATTTAAATTTCAACTTTTAGGAAACACTTCTTGTTCATAAGGATTTGGTAGAGAAAGGCTGGATAAATAATATTAGTGTCGACTTGCGAACGGAAGGTACGAATTTTGGCAAACTATTCTATATTGAGAGAATTATCTGTTGTCGTCTTTTGTATGATTGAAAACCGATTTCTTGAAGTTAAATGAGTTCTTACCCTGGTTATAAGTTTAGCTTGTAATGTTTCTGGAACGGTTAGATGATCTAAAATTTATGCAGGCGTTACATTATACGGAGGACCCAAAGCAAGTTCTCTATTAAATATTCCACTTGCTCGTTCATTACATCACGAGTATTGTTCGTTGGCTTGCACTATTGAAATCGTTGATGATGTTTATGCAGCTATCAGTCATATAAATCTTTATGGAAGGCATGTCACTCTCATATTTCTTGATTAAAATTTTGTTGAAGCACATTTTCTTTTCATTCATCTTTTCTAAAATTGTCGCTGTTTCTCCTTTGTGGCAGTGCACATACTGATTCCATTGTCACGGAAGATCCGGAAGTAGCTGATGTATTTCTTCGTCAAGTCGACAGGTATTGTTCGCTGAAACCCTTTTTCGAGATTACATCTCATTATAAAGTGGCATGTATATGTGAGTAATGTTTGTTATTTTCTTGGCAGTGCTGCTGTTTTTCACAATGCTAGTACAAGATTCAGCGATGGAGCGCGATTTGGATTAGGCGCGGAGGTATGTTATTCGAAAATATTTTGTTTTTACCGTCAGTAAGCTTTGTGCTAAGCTCGTTGATTAAATTCAAAATTTTATTTTGGACTTTAATAGGTTGGAATAAGTACAAGCCGGATTCATGCTCGGGGTCCGGTAGGAGTTGATGGATTGTTAACAACCAGATGGTAGGAGCCGACGCACTTTCTAATACTTTAGAAACCACAAATAAACCTTTTAACAGGCTTATAAAAAGGATCATAACTGTTACATGAACTATTCATTTGCAATTGCAGGATTCTCAAAGGAAGTGGACAAGTAGTAGATGGTGATAAAGCAGTTAGCTACACCCACAGAGACATAACTACTTGATTTGTACATTTTGCTAGTGAAAATCCACATCAAGGGAGGGAATGTCACTTTATTTTCTTTAGTCTTTTTCTTCTGTATTGAGAGTGAGGTTCAAGTTGTACAATATTCAATTTAGAGAAATGATGATAATTTGCATTAACTGATTTTGTATTTATTTTGTTTGTAAAATAAAATTGCTGCTTCCTTCCCAACATTAGGAAAGAGTTGGTCATTGTCCAACAACTTTGTTTCCAAGTTAATGCAGTTTTTACAGTTATGCAAATAGAAGAAAAACAAGCTTCTTATTCCACTGCTTTTACTATGCAGATCAACTGGCCTGAAGTCTCTTAATAGCTTGCATGAGCATACATTGTTATAAAGATATGTAGCTGTCATCAAATTCGGTTAGAGAGGATTAAATGAATATTAATAATTTGATAAAAACAAATTCTTTGGTGAACTAATATTGCAACATTATTTTTCATTGGTAATAACAAAACTTAAGATGATTAATGTGGTAGTATTAATAAAGTGGTAATATTTAAGTTTTGGAAGTACCTAGTTAGAGGTTTGTTCCACTTATTAGTAAACTATTTCATATTGGGAGGCGTTTTAATTTAATTTCTTTTCAATTTAGGTGCCTAATCTAAACCCAAAAACACTGTTAGTGGATTAAAGCATCATGTTGCTAGAAAAGTTGTCGATAATTTGGATTTTGTTTCTTAAGAGAAATGGAAGCAAAATAGGAAAGGGAAAACCACGGAAGTTATTTGTCAAAAATATTCTTTCCACTTTAACAAATATTTGCCAATGCAACTAGGATAATCCACTTTAAAATCATACATTGAGTATACTTTATAAGGATAAAACGTAGATCTTTTTCCTTACTGCTCTTCCGTGTAAAATACTTGCAAAACAGCTTTCAAATTGAACTAATTGAGAAAGTTTTTAGTAAGAAAGCACTAATAATCTTACATATGTAAGTGTATGTAAATGTAGATATTCTTTTTTTTTCTTTTCTTCCAAACATTGTCTTATAATTGCAAAGCTTAGCTCATCCAATATCTTCCCATGGAGTTGTGGTTTACATGGTAAGATAAACTCCTCACACCCACATTTTTCAATAATGATATCTTACATTACAGACTTTTTGAATCATCAAAATCCTCCGACTCTACCCCATCACATCACACGGCAGTCAGACAGAAAATGTGAACAAACACTCAATTGGTCCAATAAGGAAATTTACCTGTCAAAGAATCCCAATTTTGCAATCCTCAAATAATTAGAAGTTTAAGTTCTGTACATAACACCAAAAGTAAAACAACTTGGAACAAAATGCCAGACTTATGCCCTTCACGTAGACACTGACCATTCAAGTATGAATTATGGCATCACTCATTCTATACGAAACTGAATTCTACAATATGCAGGAAAGAGCATTGTGATTAATAAATACTAGTATGACATGCTAAGAATTTGGAAGGCAGAGGCCTCACATGACTATCTCTGGATTCAGAATGCTAGTTTTGATTTCCTTGTGGGGTAAAACCACACCACCATTGCTGTAAACTTCATCGCACACATGGACATCTTCTCCAAGGATGGTCATATTCTCCACTCGAGCCCATTGCCCGACAGTGGAATGCCACCCAATGATGCTGCTGGATATGCAAGCATGCTTCTTAATCCGAACTCCTCGCATTACAGTGCAGCTTGAAAGCCTGACACCTGACTCAATAATACAGCCAGGGCCAATTGCTACGTCAGGTCCAATGAGACATCCCTCACCAATTTTGGCTGTCTCATGCACAATTACATTCCCCAAAATGTGAGGGCCACTGGCCAACTTGGAAGAAGTATTTTTCCTCAGTGAGTCCAGATAGAGTCTCAGGCCTGTGATATAGTCCCTTGGTTGTCCAATGTCCATCCAGAATCCTGGTAGAACCATTGCATATAGCTTCTTGTTAGCTGCAATCTTTGGAAAAACCTCTTTCTCAATAGAAGTGGGTCTCAATTCAATATGATCCAAAACTGAGGGGTTCAATAGGTATATTCCAGCATTGATTTTGTTACCAACAAATAACTTTGGTTTCTCCACAAATTTCTCAACCTGGCCAGTGGTCTCTTCCATCACAACTACACCATATTTTGATGGCTCATCAACCTGCACAAGTATATATATGCATGAAATAAATATATTGAATGCTATAATTTCCAATATAAATTTTCTTTTTTCAGTTCCGTTACCTTTGTCACCATTATGGAAGCCTCTCCTCCATGGGATTTATGGAATTTTATCATTTCTTTAAGCGGATACTCACTTATAACATCACTGTTGAGAACAAAAAAAGGCTCACCAGAACCATCTATCAGCTTATCTCTGGCTAGAGCCAAGGGACCTGCGGTTCCCAATGGTTCAGTTTCTTGAGAGCAAGTGATTTTGATGTCGAGCTTTTCCTCAAAATCCTTCAAGAAATTCAACATCACCTGCAAGAGGGAGGGTTAACAAATTCAAAATAAAGAAACATTGTTTTCATAAATGTCTGTGAGAATGACGTCACACGATTAGGTAAAGAGTGGCACAATCCATACCTCTGGTTGGTAATTGATAGCCAACACCACTTCAGTAACTCCAATGTCCTTAAGAGCCTCTATCTGCAAAACAAATTTAAAGGTAAAACACAAGACATGATGGTTTATTAAGCCGTACTAAGACAAATACACATAAACATAAATAAATATTAAAGTCTCACACCTGCATGTACTCACAGGCGGTGATGGGATAATGAAAGGAACAATATATAACAAAAGGAGAAGAATCAATATTAAATGAAATTTAAAATACCTTCTCAAGCAAACAATAAAAGTTTGAGGAAAGGGGAAAGAAGATACAATAAACAAACATGATCCATGATATGAGGGAGAAAATATAACACACAGGCTATTAAAAAGAGGTACCAAAAGCCTTACCTGGTGCAGAATCATAGGCTTGTTAGCAAAATCAACAAGAGGCTTGGGAACACTGAGTGTCAATGGCCTCAACCTTGTTCCAAACCCTCCAACCAGAATCAATGCCTTCATTGTGACGTGTCCTTTGCTTTTCCAGTAAGATTATAAACTTTGAAGCAGACCTAGAAAGGCTAACAGATAACACAATAAAATATGAGAAAACAACTTCTACACTGTCATATAAATATGCATGACAGGAAATAAATAACTTGCAAGGAACTCTTCAGTTACTATATCAACAAGCTTTGGAATAAAACAAAAGATCAAGTCACGTTAGACTTAGATCACATAATCACATTTCCCAAATGGAGATAGAGCAAGTACACGTCTACTAAAATCAATATGAAAACACTTTTGTACATTATATTTAGGAATAAATTTCTCAAAAAAGAAAACTGTAAAGGAAAAATATACTAGTGAGAGTTAACTTAATAATCTAGGTGAAGCAATTTTGTCCTTAATTACCATACTCCGCCAACCTATTTGCGAAACAGATCCTCGTGCTGGTTATTACCTTAAGTATTCCCCTTTTGATATTAAAAGCCCTAATTAAATACTACAGTAACCACTGGTCAGCTCCATTAGGCTATAGCTGAACCTAGCTTTTACAAATAAAAACATACTGAAAGAATCTACAAATCCTAGATCAATTGGTCCCTCCCAACCTCAAAAACCTACCTCTTATATCTCTACATTGCATCATAAATTTTCAGTACTAAATCATTTTTCAAATAATTTTCACGGCATATACATACAACAGAAACTAAAATCGAAAGCAAACACAACAAATAAAACAAAATTGCAGAATAGATCTGATGACTAGCACGCAATTTCGTTGACACAATTACACAAACACCTTGTGTGTGCGGTGAAATAAAAAAAAAATGGTGATTGCAATGTAGAAGATTCAACCAATCAAAACAAAATCCATGCAGAACGTAAAGAGGAAAAAGAAACAAAACCTGAAGAAAGGGAAGGGTGGGGGAACGAGAAACTAAGACCCCCCAAACTGGAAGAAGTGAAGACGAAGAGTCAGAATGGTACGTTGAAACAGAACAACAGCCTGACACAACGCAACTGTCCGGTCAATGAGCTGTCGCGATCGGATTGGTCATTGCTTGTCATCTTCCTTATATATACGCGCCAACCAAACATGGCCTTAAATAACTTGATTCACGGTGACGCACGAAACCCCTTTTTTTCAATTATTTCATTTTTTATTATTTAATTAATTGAATTTCCTTTTTAGTTTCTCAAGTTACATTGATGCCTTGTTTGGTGGTTTACCAGCGTCGGTGGTTTCGGCTTTTGCGTTAGGATCCTTTTTATCTACTTCTTTAAATGTGATTTTTTTTAATAAATATTTTCCTTTTAAAGAATTCAGATTTTTTACACTTTAAAACAACAAATCAAAAAGTAAAATAAATGTTCTAATATTTTATTATTTAAAAATTTAAAAGTGAACTAATTTAAATAAATTATAAAATAAAAAAATCAAATCAAAATTTAATATCCTTTTATTTGTCTATTTTCTCTTTTTTCAAGCTTTTTAAAATAATTTTTTATTTAACTTGATAGTTTTTTTTTTTTGGATAGTTTTGATTTACACACATGTTTTATAAATAGAGATTTCTTGTTGGACATAAAAATATTATTTTAAAAACTATACATTAATTTTATTAAAAATTTAAATTAATTTTTTACTCTTTATTTAACATAAATTTTTATTTATAAATTGATAAAATGTTTCACACATATTATTTATTTCTATGTCACATCTAGAATAAGTTTTGAATTGCAACCTGCTCTAATATTGTGCAAGTTTTTCTTTCAGACAAAAAACTTCATTCAAGTTTTTCATCTTTAATATTGCTCTCTTCTATTATGAAATTGTTGTAGCCCTAATTGTACTCCACATGGCCTCTTTCAAATTCAAGCCATGATATTTTTTATTCCAATTCACATAAAAATGTTTCACAGAAAAACGTTGCTCAACATGAGAACTAGTACTATATACTGTTGGGACTAGCCCCGGAAATATAAAATATCAAAATAAAAGAAAATAAATTACAAGTCTAACTTATAAATTGATAGCAAAAAATGTGAACAAAAGACATATACATTAAAATGTTGCTTTTTGCTGGCTAGAAATGAATCCATATGGCCTATGATTTATGTCTTGCATGTCATTCAATATAAAGTCTATGAACTCGTTATTATAAAAGATATTTTCTATAACTATTTCTTACCAATTTACATAAACAATCAAGGTAATATGTACTTATTAGATGGCTTTTTTTTTTTTTTTTTATAAAAATATTATATATAACTGCGGTCAAAACTAATAAATATTGTGATATATTAAGAATAACACGTTTAGAAATTTAATATCTATATTTTTTTTTGTGTTTTTTTAATAAAAGGGTGTATTTTCTTTATTCCTAATTTTAAATGAAAATTAAATTTTTTTTATGACGGTCTAGATTAACAACCATGGTAAAATATTTAGAGATATCACCGTAATTGATTTTAACAACCGATTTGAAATAATTTATCAATATATTCACTTCAAAACAGACTATGTTGTAAGTGTGAAACGTTAACTTCTCTCACCTTTTCTTAATCTTTCAAAACTTCATCCTGACTTCACAAAACTCCAACATAACTTCTCGTACTTGTATGAATCAAGGAAATGTTTCATAAAACAAGCAAATTCATATCTTTATTTTTCGTTTTCCATAAATATTTTTAAGTAAAGATACTTATTATTTTCAAAATTCTATGCTTTTATTGTTGTTAAGATGAATCAAGTAACACTATGTTAATAAATATTATTGTTGAGATATGTTTGATAAATGTGTTGTTTGTTGATAAATAATTTTATTTTGTTCATAATTTATGATTTTTGCTTACATATTTTCTTTTGAAGTATGTTGATATTTTTGTTAGGTATGTTGATAAATATTGTTGTTGAGATATGTTTGATAATGTTGTTTAAAGGCATGTTGATAAATGTTGTTGTTGAAGTATATTTGATAAATGTGTTGTGTTTATGTTAAGTTTAGTTTATAATTTTGTAGATAAAAGTTGTTGTTTGTGTTGTTTGTTGATAAATGATTTTGTTTTGTTCATAAGTTTATGATTTTGTTATGTTCATACATTTATAATTTTGTTTACATATGTTTTGTTGAAGTATGTTGTTGTTAGTTTATGTTTGATAAATATTGTCTAAAGGTATGTTAATAAATGTTGTTGTTGAAGTATGTTTGATAAATGTGTTGTGTTTATGTTAAGATTAATTCATGATTTTGTAGATAAAAGTTGTTGTTTGTATTATTTGTTGATAGATAATTTTGTTTTATTCATAATTTTATGATTTTGTTTACATATTTGTTGTTGAAGTATGTTGGTATTTTTGTTAGGTTTGTTGATAAATGTTGTTGTTAGTTTATGTTTGATAAACATTATTAAAATGTAAGTTGATAAATGTTATTGTTGATGTCTATTTGATAAATGTGTTGTGTTTATGTTAAGGTTAATTTATGATTTTGTAGATAACAATTTTTATTTGTGTTGTTTGTTGATAAATAATTTTGTTTTATTTATAAATTTATGATTTTATGTATATATTTTTGGTTGAAATATGTTGACGTTTTTGTTAAGTATATTGATAAATATTTATTATTTTATGTTTATGATACGAATAATGTTATTATTACTTAAACATTGCAACAATCATGTTGTAATTCCTATTACATCATAAATAAATAATAATAGTAATGAAAAATTATAAATTAATCATAATTAAAACCTATACAACAAAAATGACATGTTTTAAGATAGTGCTTTATGATTCCAATCATCTTTTTTTTTTTAAATAATTAGTGAGAAAATTTATCTATAAATTGTAATTATTCTAGATATTTTTATTCAAAAACAATGGTTAATAAAATAAATTTATTAAAATATGTATTTTTATATAAAAATTAATTTTTTATTTTAAACTTTAATGACAATTATTAGTTGACTGTCTTACAAATTTTTGTGCTTTCATTAACTTATGTTTATAAGACAACAAATTTAAATTAACTTCTGAGATTAAACATATGTTTTATTTCATATTTATTTAGTTTTTTAACTAATTTTTGTAATTATCATAAATGAATTAATTAATTTTTTTGAAATATTATAAATAAGCTATTTAATTGATTTAAAATACAATAAGGGAAGACTTATTTATGGTGAGAATCTTTAATTAAAGGAAGTTAGTTTTAGTGAGGAATTTTAAGTTTATGAAATAAATCTTCATTTTTTAAGATATTTTTAGCGATGGTTTCTGGGTTTTAGTGACGGATTCCGTGTTTTTGACATGAATCTTCATCATCTAAAATGCTTTTAGTGACAATTTTAAGATTTAAGACATAAATCTACATCTTCTAAGATACTTATAATGAAAGTCTTTGGACTTTAGTGATGGATTATGGGTTTAGGACATGAATCTTCATCTTATTTCTAATGACGGTTTCTGGAGTTTAGTGATGGATTCTGGATTTTGGACATGAGTCTTCATCGTCTAAAATATTTTTAGTGACAAATTCTTTATTTTCTCATGAATCTTAATCTTCTTACATAGTTTTAGTGATGGTTTATGGGTTTTCTCATGAATCTTCATAGTTTTAGTGCGGTATCCGAGTTCTAGCAATATTTTTGATGTTGTCATGAATCTTCATCTAAAATAATTTTAGTAACGGTTTTTAGTTTTTTGTGACGACCAATTTTTCACGTGACATGCCACGTCAAACTAAAATTATGAATGAAAAATATTAGAAGAACCATTGTATAAAGAAATTCTTTTGACAGATTAAAATTGAATGTTTACTTATTTATAAGGACATCTAACATATTTAACTCATATTTAATCCTTACGTAACTAAACCAAATTTCAAAATTTCAATTCTTTTACTTTAGGATTGTGAATCCAAATAATATTCTTAAAAGAAGGTTAAATAGTAGTCGATCAATAAACAATTTTCATACCAAGTAATTGTTACATAGCTCCATACATTTCTTAA